AGACTACAGAGTAATTGTAGTTCACCTCGAATGGAATTTAATTTTTCTTATTGGCGAGGATAGAACACTGATCGCATATGACATGAACCATAGAAAAGTTCTTGTCCTCCCTGCCCAAGTCATGCGGTATCGTAGACCTACCTGGAGGGTATGTCCGGAGGGACCTCACTATCTTTCTTATGTTCCCTTGTTCATGGAGTCAGTAGGACAACAGTAAAGTTGCATATGCTATTTTTTCTTGTTACGACATGTCTTTCTCTAGGTAGGGAGTTGTTTTGATTCTATATACAGTCCAATTTTGGCTTGGTAACTAAAGTAATTGTATGTTGAATATTATTAATGTTGCTGCTTTATGCAGGTTGTGGAGTCTGACTGCTTTTGAACGATTTTCTTACAATGGCTAAGGGAGAAAGAAGAGGGGTTTCATAGTGCATTAGCTACCAAGCTAAAGAAAGCAGTGCCTTGTAAGCAGGAGTGGCAATCTGAAGGAGCAGAGCACATCTACCTCATTTTCGTTACATAAGTCTGTAGGGAGCAGAGCCTTTATTCTTCTATCTATGTATCACTTGTGTTAATTCTTGAGTTGACACGATTGTTATGTTAGTGTCACTTGTTATTATAAAAAGTACTCTTCATTGTGGACATGATGAATGGTGTGTAATGATTATATCTATATGGTGTGAGTTCAATAAATTATTAAGGCCTAGCTGAATTAGTAAATAAATTGTGAAAACCGGATGCAATTCTGTCACCGTCGGATGTAAGGGCCATTGGATGTTTTGTCATCACCGCCGTACAACTCACTATTGGCGAAGCAGACGGCCATCACTGCCGCTATTCATCTCATGCGGCAGGGGTCAATAGTGTATCATCGTCGAATCGCTTAGTAACCCGACACCGACTAAAGGATCTTCACAAGCGGATTGTACTACAACTACCTATGACCAGACGGTTCATATGCTGAAGTGATGGTGATGTCCACCTCGACACAGATGTGTTCGCGCGCCAAAGCAATGGTGAACACACACTGCACACAATCGGGTCGTTGTGCAAGGCGACTGTGATGTTTACCTCTATAGACGTCTCGGTAGTCGAAGGGACAGCCAATCTGCACCATAGACAGTCGGATCGAAGTACAAGGCAACGGTACTGGTGACCACTACATAGGCGGTTGATGTGCCCACACGACGGTGATGATAGCCTCCACATAGGCGGATCATTTGCTAGTGCGGCGGTGTTAGTGTATACCCACACAGCCGGGTCATGCTCCAATACGATGGAAGTAAGGACCTTATCACAGATTGATCATAAGCCAACACGGTAGTGTAGTGTACACCATAGTCGGTCTCAGACCATCACCGTCGGCAGCTTACTGCCGAGGCTAAAATTGGACTGCGATTGGGGTTACGACATGGCTATGAAAGGTCTAAATGTAGTAGTGTCTAGTCCTTTGGCCCTTAAGTGTTCAAGGAAATCCTTATGAGTTTAATTTGGTCAACAGCTTTGTGCTGTGTGCCTCTGTCTTGTGGCATTTGACTTAAATTGCCGCATAGAGTGCATAGCTTTAGCCTTGGAGCAAATCTAACATTGTTATTATGTTAAACATGTTTTCTTACGTTCTAATGTGTATATGTCTGAATTCTCTCATGATCACATTTTTAAAATTTGAGTGAAATGAACACCTTTCTTACATGGACTAGGTAGTGCCCAACCACACCATGCACAGGCTAATCATTATTTTTGCTCTGAATTTTTCTACGCCTATTTTGTGGGACTTAATAGATAGTCTGACTTAACTCTGCAATTATGGCTGAGTTGGTGATGTCACAAATGTCACTACACATAGTATTGGTAGTTTATCTAGGTTTACAATTCTGTCTACATATAACTTATGATTTGCATTTGTTGTGTGTGTATCTGGAGGTTTAATTCCCTTAAGTTTAAATATACCGATGCATTTTTTACCCAAAGTAGTTACTTGATATCACATGGCGATAGGGTACTCTCATGCAAAGCTGTTTGTTGGTTTAGCCAACAAGAATGAGAGGGCGAAGGAGAGAAGAAGAGAGAGCCAAGGAGAGTAGTAGGGAGAGGGCAAGTGAGTGATTAGCTCTATGTCCCTCTCCACTAGGGGCTACACATGAGCCCTAAATGTTATTTTGCAAGCCCGAAGCTACATAATTGGGCCCTAACGACTATATTCAAGAAGCAACAAAAATAGAAGCTCCTACATTGCAAACATCATATTAAAAAAAAAGCTGCCAACTTGAGGGTGGGATGGGGGATTATAAAAACAACTCCAACAATAGAACAATATAGCACAAAATTCCTACCATGGCCGCAAAACAAAAAAAAACTCTGCATTGTTGATATATAAAAGAGCAAGCTACTAACTATGGGCCAAAATAACAACAAAACAACATGGCATAAAATACATGTCGTGGCCTTAACATGATAAGGAAGCAACAAAAACACAACTTCTGTATTGTAAACATATAAAAGAAGCATAGGGGGCAAATTATAAAGAATAATAAAATTTAATAAACAACATAACAAAACCTAAAAAAGAAAATAAAAATCGGAAGAACAAAAAAACAACAATCCTTAAAAATAATCCCACAACACAATAACAAAACAAAGTTATAACCCTTAAAGTGCAAACCTAAATCACACATCTTTGAACTGGAATGGCAAACATAGTAACAACACTTGAGAAGGTACCCCCACACCACAACAAGATGACAATTGAAGGGCGAAACATAGTCGTAACCCTTGAAGTAAACCTAAAGCACAAAAGGCTTTCAACTGGGTGGTAGACATAGTAACAACACATAAAAATAATCCCACAACTACCCAACTAAATGGAAAACATTATTGAACCCTAAATAAAATAACCTGATCACCCTTAAATAAGAACCTTGATAAACCCTAAACATAGAACACTAATTAACACTAAATACAAGGGCATTAATCACCCATAAATACAAAATCCTGTCATACCAACCTTTCTTGTATATAAATACTTAAAACTAGGGAAAATAAAATCTAGAGTACAAAACGCCAAGCCCCTAATTTTTTTTTAAAAAAAACTAAATACAAATGAATAATAAATTTTAAATACAAACACATAATTTATTTTATATGTAATAAGTCGGAGGACAACAAATAAGAAAAAGAAAACCACCATTACCCAAATTGGAAATTAACAAGATTAAAATACAAAACATTTATGCAACCCTAGTTAATTTTTTTTTGAATTTGGGTCAATTCATTTCAGACTTGCTGACAAATCGTCAGCCACAATTACATGTAAAACACTAAATACAATTAGGAAATGTCTAGTCAACAACCGGTTGTTTTAGCCCCTCCTATCAACCAAATTTTTCTCATACACTTACATTGTCTTATAGCTATATTTACACTGTCTTATTACTATATTTACAATGATTTCTTCAGTGTAATTTATTGGAAAGAGTGATGTAATTTGAGAATAACACAAATATATACCAAATTTTTCAAAAAGATTTATAAATTATTTCTATGAATTCCAGATATCATAGAAATATATATCAAATTATTCACAAATTCTTCAGAAATTAAAAAAAAAACAAAATCCACACAAGGAGGTGAGAGAGGAGAGATTGTCGCAGGGTGTTCCATGCTCGTGTGTCAGGCAGGGACACAGGCACCTGCATGATTGCTTGCTTGACGCTGAAGCCGAGCGGACGCACACACAAGGATGCATCGCACGCACGCACGCGCCAGCATGATCGCAGGCGGGGGGAGGCCGACGCTTCTGCATCGCACGGCCCAAAAAACAGTTGATAACAACTAGCAAATCAACCGGTTGATCATTAGCCTTTCGGTACAATTAACTTTTAAGTTACCACATGGCTTTATTAGGTAATAAAGCCTTTTGAATTTCTGCCACATTTCTTGAACAGATTAGTAGTCAGCAACATGATATATGCTAGTAGTACCATTTTTGGGAAAAGATCATGACCATTGGGATGGAACACAAGTCCAGAAAAAACATTTGCAAGGTAGTCCTCTAATCACAGTGGAACTCAGGTCACTTCACAAGCTTCCTGATGCTGCCAAGCCTGTTCGGGAGGCCGTATCGTATCGTGGATTATTTACTGCTAGCTGATTTGATGTGAGAGAAAAACATTGTTCTCGACTGGAAATTTACGATCGTTTACGAACAAGCGAACAGGTAACAGGTAGTGAGCTCCTCGTGATGCCGCTTCTGCCCTCCCCTGTCATGTCAGCTGAGCTCCCCACTTGCTAGTGTAAGAAAACAGAACAAATCAACATCTGGATGGGCTTCACGATCTGACGCGCACCAAACAACCAAAGATGCATAGGAAGGCTGAAAATTCGTGTGCCCAAAGCCAACAGAGCAACCGGTTGACATTTAGATTTCCCCTTATTGACATGTTCAGCAACCGAACATGTGATGCGAGTGGGAGCAAACACAGAATATACGGCAGCTGAACCTGATTGATTGGGCCTTTTTTTCGCCTCAGAGCATCTTCAAGAGTTTCATAAACATACTTCTAATCATTGTTTTTAGAAAGATTAAAAAAATTTCTCTCCAGTAACTCCTAATCCATCCTTCAATCTTTTAGCACTTGGAAAAAAAATTCCCACAAAGAACAGCCAACCGTAGGTGGTGGCACCGACCGCATGACGCAGGCCATGCAGCTCCCACCGTCGCTCGAGGTCGACCTATTCCACCGTATGCTTCCCTTTCAACAGCTATGGGCCGCTGCGGATCCTGCTCGCCGGCTCGTTCGTCGCGGCTCCCAGCTCTACGAAAATACCATTGAATGATTGGAACATGCTTTTGAAATATGATTTTTGAAGTAAATTATTAGAAATTTTTAGAGATGGGCTTGTTTATTCCTCCTAATATTTTTTTAAAGTTAGAAAAAACCATGTTTTAGGAAAAAATTATTAGGTATTTTTGGAGATGTTCTCGAGGAAGGCCGGACACATCACGCCCACATGGCCACGACGGACATGCCACCGGCGCCGAGGAGCACGGCCAGGAAGGAGACCATCTGGAGCCTGACGCTGCTCTGCAGCTTGGGCCCCATGAAGTCCGCGCCAAGGAGGTCGACGAGCGCCATGTAGTGGAGCAGCCCCGCCGAGGCCGCGTTGAGAAGCCCAACGACGATCAGCGCCGTCGGGCTGGTGTCACTATACACCTTGGTGAGCGCCAACCCCAGCGCGATCCCGAACGGCGTCGTCGTGGCGAAGAAGAAGACCAGCCCTGACTTCATCCTGGCGCCGTACTCGGTCTGCAAGATGCAGCCGCCGAGACCCAGCAGAGCGCCGCCACGAGGGGACGGATCGTGCACACGTTCTGCGACGCGCCCATGCCGAGGCCGATCACCACCGAGTGCACCACGATGCCCATCTCCAGGACCTGCGCACGGAGCGAGGTCGACGCGAAGATCAACAACGATGAACGGAGCTTCAAAACGTACGATGCAGTACAGAAATTAACCTATATTAGATGGATCGATTACCTGAACAATGACACGGTTCCTGCGCAGCTGCACCTTGCCGGCCTCCACGTCCTCGTCCACCTTGTCCGCGGCCTCCGGCCTCGCCTCATTCATCTCTAGATGCCCGTGCCCGTGACAGTGCACCTGCGGAGGGCAGCTGTCATGGCCATGGCGCGCGACCGAAGCCCTTCCCTTGCCCCTGTCGCCCCGGCTGTGGAACGAGAGCATGATCGAGTCCACCATGAGCGTGACCAAGGCTGCGAGCATCGCGACAAACCCCGTGAACGGGAACTCCGCCCAGGGCCTCCGGGGCAGGCAGGGCGAGCCGAGGTCGTTGAAGGAGTCCGGCAGCACGTGCACGTAGCCGGTGCCGAGGATGACCCCCGACGCGAAGGCCTTGACGACGACGAAGGCGTTGCCGCCGGGGCGGAGCGCCGGCACAGAGCGGGAGAAGAGCGGCAGGCACACGCCGATAACGCTGGCGAGGAGGATCGACGCGATGGCGATCAGCTTCAGGCGCAGCGCGTTGGCGACGCTGTGGCATTTGCCCCCGACGGCCGGACCACCGCATGCGCCACCATCGGCGGGCGGTGCTTGAGGCTCCTCCGGACCACCGCATGCGCCCGGCTCTTGTGTGTGCCCATCGGGGTGAAGAGACCTTTTCTCCTTCCTCCTATTCTAATCTACTACTGTACAACGGATTATCAACATTCCATCCCGCTAACGAATCGCTTGAGAAAACGGCCTGTAGCGAGGTTCGCGGGGAGCGAAGGTCGTCGGTACTGTTGCAGATCTTCTCGCCCGCTCTACAGCTCGCGCATGGGCCGCGAACTCGGCTCCGCTCGCTGGGATGCGCATGGGCCGGCTCGCTCCGCAGCTGGCGCATGGGCAGCGAACTCCGATCCGTTCGCTGGGGTCCTCATCACGTGAATGCAGGGAGAAGACGTCAAACACTGTGGGCTGCTGCGGGTGGATCAAAGCTAAGCTTAAGACCCAGCAGCTGTTCGGCTGATCGTTTCGCGGGCTTTATTCTGAGAGTAAGTTAAAGCGAATAGGGCGTCAGTTTGGTGCTAGAATTTGTCAGAGCACACCCTGTCAACTTGTTGCTAAAAAACGGTGAGCTGGCAGTTACTGATGTCAATTTGATCCTAGGAACTATTATCCTTCAGTACTTCCTGTCGATATTCGGTAACGCAGGGGCCCGACGCATGGCAGTGTCGGAGCGGAGGTGACGCATGGGCCACCAGCATGGTAATCAACATCCACCAATTCTTAATCTTGCTCGTAGAACAAGGAGTTTTCAGAATTTTTGTATGCCACTAGATGTCTGGGTTTAGTGAGTCATAAACATCTCTATTTTAGTCTCTGAAAATAACCGCAAAGTCCCACTCAGCATCATCATGCTAGCTGCTATTATTGTTCACTTCGTTTTTAAGTTTTGGTGAATTTCTCCATTATGTGTTTTGTTCACAGGGCTTTTACAATGCTTCTTTGTGCCAGGCAGAACGATAAACAGATGAACAAGCAAACAGTTTTAAATGTGAAATGGACCTGCAAGCTATTTTTTAAGGCCAGATTTTCCTTTTGCAATCTCATTTCTCAAACTGCAACACAATTTTTTAGACGATTCTTTGGCTGAGCACATGGGGAACCATGGAATTATCTTGCAAAAATGTGCATGCATAAACTAGCTTTGCGGTTTCTGATATCAGCAAGGAACTGAACACTGCACTTTGGACAAGTATCTGCACATACGCCATGGACCAATGGTCTGTAGAGTTCAGCGTCGGCGACCTTTTCAGCACCCTTCATGGCAATTCCCTATTTTGATATCTCTGATTTCGTTGGTTCCGTTATCCTGTGTTCTTCTATAGTTGTACCTCTCTCTGCCTAAAGCCTTGCGACCTTTTCAGCACCCTTCATGGCAATTCCCTATTTTGATATCTCTGATTTCGTTGGTTCCGTTATCCTGTGTTCTTCTATAGTTGTACCTCTCTCTGCCTAAAGCCTTTTCTGATCAACGATGAATGTGTTGAGGTGCAGAACTTGAATGCAAACATTACAGGTTGCTCAAAGTTTGCATGGCATTAGGCAGTAGGGACCGGTATTCAAAAAAAAAAAAAACCCAGTTTCTACATTCCACTCAAGTCATCTGGCATGTCAGTTTGGATGACATAAGTATTAAGCAACAACAAATGGGTGATGTAAGCCATCAACAAACATGTGTCAGGTGTTTTCTTGCTATTATTTGCTTTGCTCTTAATACAGAGCTGGGGTGTTGCTGTGCTGATGGGTGTGTAACAAAGATGCTGAATCCAAGACTTATCCAATGAAGCTCCTGAATGAGGGGACCCTAAAAGGAACCTTTGTGTGGCACCAGCAAAAATGGAAAACTTGTGTGAAGACATCATTCAGTAAAATGCAGCATCAGAAGTCAACAGAAATTTACATTTGGTTGATGCGGTGAAATCTGCATGTCACTTCAGGATTATTTCCTCATGAAAAGAAATATATAGATTTTGTTGAAATTTAATAGGAAGTCACTGTTAAGTTTAAATCTGAACAAGCACCATTAATCGGATAACATACTGTCATTTTTGAGAAACATGGAGCTCTCCATCTCTTTGGATGGAAAACCTGGTCCTTAGGTTTCTCACAGGCTTGCACAGTTGTACTTGTTCTTTATACCTACATTTTTCTCATCTGTTAGGTGCTATTATTTCTTGAGTAGTAAAAACTTTCTTATTTCTTACTTGCAAAACTTCTAGGCTTTGGTGATGTCTTTTCGTAACTTGTGATCTGTCTACCTTTCATAGAGGAAGTTGGCAGTTGCTCATGACCATGTGCCAGTTAACTCTGGTGGCAAACAAATGAATGAGGATTCGAACAATGTGGACAAAGACACTATTGAAAGCAAGGTTGAATCTAAGCAAATTGCTCAAGATATATATTTTTTTAAACGAGTTTTAAACTCTGCTTTAAAGAAAGCAAGCGATTGCTCAAGATATATAGCAGACCAAAATAAGGTCAGACTCCAAAACCTTACCTTTCATATCAATTTACTCGTTATAATTTGTCAAGGGCAAAGGTAAGGAAGAAGATGCTCAGGTTTTTACCCTTGATGAATGGGAGAAGTGGAAACCACTGGTTCGAAGCCCACTGCAGAAAGCTATGTGCATGACACTAGAGGAGATGAGGAGTTGGCAAGGCAACAGCAGGAACGACTAGAACTAGAGGATATGCCGAGGGCGAGGAATGGGCAGAGGAAGATTTTAACTAGCGACAAAGTTGTAGGTTTATAGGTTTGTTGTGTGTTCAGTGTAGTCCACTGGTTGTAGGGGCAAAAATGGCCAGCCCTCGCAATATCTTGTTTGGGTGATAGTACAACACACGTTCATATATACGTTATCATGATATTATTTTTTATATTATTTTCTTACCTAGTGGTCTAAAAAACTCATTCCCACCCCTACATGTATATGATTTGTCTATATTTATACTATTATAAAACATATCAAGCCATTTAAGTCTAAGAAAAAACATTCCACTTGTTACTACAAACAACTTATTGTACTATTTATACCCACTCACACATATGACATATGGCCCTATCACCTGAGATCGACACTAGGCCTTAACACACAACAGCCCTCAACTACTCTGACTCCTCATGTATGACACTAATCAGGGTCAAGCTATCAATGCAACAGGAGGTGAAGTCGACAAATGACTTGGTAACTTTTTGTATTGCCAAACCAGCACATTGGTGGAAGGAAAACCCGAAAAGACCAGAGAATTTTGCATAGTCACGCACCATGCATCCAAACTCGTTGAGAATCACGCCAGCGCTCTCTAGTTCTCTAAGCTTGTCTCTAAATCTATTCGATCTTTATCTTTTTGCTCAAAGAACAAATAAAACCTCTTGTTTTTCCACATCCTAATTTTCTTCTATTTCTTTATCCATATAGAACTTTATTGTCATTTCTTGTTTTTGGTCTCATATAATCAAGGAAGGATATAAACTAAAATCTAGTCAAATTTCACATATAAAAGAAAGACTACTATTTCTTAGTAATGTATTGGAAGAAGGGATCATCTTTTTTAGGGATAGGTTATGCATTTGCAATGCTGTCGCATGACAAAAATGATTTTTTTATCTTTGCTTATGAAAACCTGATCGTTGCTCATTCGAGTTTGGTGCTAGTATTAAGAACCATTTGTATGGAAAGAGAGTAAAATAAAGTGTTCAACATGGTAGGTCTCCACGTGTATGCAAAAAGTATCACTTTTGTCTCGCAGAATGGTTCTATGCCTTAGTTTCTCTAATTCTACTCGCCCAGATATTCAAAGTTGATATCTTTTTTCCCAGATCAGAACCCATTGATTGATATTTGTCCAATAGTTCATACTTCGTATAGCTTGAAGCTTGATCCATCCATTCTGTGACGCTTGTCAAGCGAAATGAGGTGTTGGTTGCTGCGGCCTTGGGCGACTCAGATCCGCATGATCGGGGCGGCTAGTGCACCGTCCCGGCTGCCACTGGGCTGCTGCCGTGCTGCGCTAGCGCCTTGACTCCCTAGCTAGTAGGGTATAGGGTTTGGAGTTGGGGAATAGGCAAATGAATATTGGTCGTGAGGAGGAGCAAGCAACAAGCCGAGAAGTGCGAGTTTGCGGGAGACGTCGATGTCTCTTGGTGTGGATTTTGAGGGAGAATTTGGGTTCCTGGGCCTATTGGGCCTTCTGGCGGGGAGGAAAAGGAGTAGGAACATGCATTTTGAGTTCCATTTGAGTTAGAAGCCGCATGCCTCGTCGGCCTAGAAATCTCACCCGGTCTCGCAAGGTTACTCACACGACCGCTCTTGTCTCTCGGGTCATCCCCGAGCTCCCTCTCGTGATGGAAGGATACACCTACGCTGGAGGCGATGAACGTGTCGTGAAGGGCTAGCCTGGGCTAGTGATCTTGGCTTACACTCGTTCAGGGTTGCGAGCGATTTTGCCAACACGGTGAGGAGCATCCTGGGCGAGGGTTTCAACAAGTATGGTCTCATAGTTCGGGAGATCAATGCTAGACAGACGAGCTTCACAAGAGCAGATTTCGTTTTCGAGGGACGAAAATCAAACGGCGGCGCTCACTTATTAGCTAGAAGCTCTATAAATTTATGGATAGATATATATATGTGTGTGGTTTTTAGAGCCTCATGATGGAATTTGTAATTCTTATTATGTTGAATAATTTTTTTTGACAGAGCTCCTCTTCTCCAAACAAAAAATGTAGAAGCCGCGTGCCTCGCCTAGCCTAGAAATCTCACCTGGCCCGGCAAGGTTACTCGCACGGACTCGTGCTGGCCGCTCTTCCCTCTGGCCATCCCCGAGCTCCCCTCCTGTGACAGCAACATCAACGGCTTGCACCTAGCCAGCCAGAAAACATCTCGCCCCTGAACTCCGGTTCCTGCTCATGACCTCTTTCTTTTGCCGGAGTCTAACTCCTCACCTCCCAATTCGACCTCTTCGCCCTCGAATCGAGCTTTCCCTCCACCGAATCGAGCTCCCCAACCATTGAAATCGAACTCATTGTCGCCGGATCTAGGTCTCTGCGTGACAAGCTCGAGCTTTGGAGAAGGAAGAGGGAAAGGGGGAGGAAGGCAACCAAACGGGTGGAGGGAAACACGCCAAATAGGCTCCTCGGTTAGTCTGGGCTCGGGGTGCCACCCGCCATTCGAGGCCTGTTTGATATAGGGCCAAGGGGGTGGTCGGCGCTCCCTAGCTGCAACCCAGCCTATTTGATTTGCTTGGCCCAGCTGCCGACCCGGCTCTGTGCATGCAAAGCGCACTCTCTCCTACATTCGGGGGAATGCTCCTAGGGTTTGTTTCTTTGGAGCCAGGCTCCCTCCGTCCTCGTGTGGGCGATTTCGAGGCGGCGGCGGCGGCTCGCGTGGGCTCACGCGGGAACCATGAAACTTCCTCCAGCGCTCCTCCTCACCGAAATTCGTTGCCTTTATATATGCCGCCCTCCTCCCTCGCTGCCTTCTTCTTCGTCCTCCAGCTCCGTCTTTCCCACTGCGTTCGCGTTGAGCGACCTACGGTGTTGGTGTGGTGGTGGTGCGGCGTGGCGCGGCGGGCTTCTTCCTCTCCGGTCTTTGTCTCCGTTCACGCGGTCGTCTTCCTCCTCCTTCGGTGGTGCGGATCTGCTTTTGCTTCCATTGCGGCTCTTCTTCTTCTCCGTCTTGCGATTCTTCCTGTCTCCGTCGACTCCCCCGAGGTGAAATCCCCCCAAATCCCCTTTGCTTTCATTCTAGGGTTTCCTGTTGCCCTATTTTTATTTTGATTTGTCTCTGTAGAATGATTGTTTGGGTACATGATGCTTGTGTAGTTGCTATGAATGTTGATTTCGAGCACTGAAACATTTATGCTGCATTGTTGGTTCTTTTCATATGGTCGATGATGAATCTATCCACTGTATGCTGAAATGTTAATTCTTTCATGGTGAATGATGATTCTGTCCAATGCACTGGAGGCATTCTTTTTATGCAGCCGTGTTGTTAGCTTTTGATATGAATGATTGCACTTTTATATTGAGGCCAGCCAGGGTCTACTACAGCTGAGTTGTATCTTTGAATGTTGAATGCATGTAGATGGATCCAACTGCACAATGTGAGATGATGGCCAGGCAAGCAGCTGCCATGGTTGTGGTTATGCTTTCTTTTTTGTCACTGGACGGAGAAGAATTAGGGCCCAACTAGAGCCTGTCCCTTATGGTCCTAGGTCATTAAGCCAGCAGCATAGGCTATCCACCCTCCAAATGATATTTAACA